GTGTACAAGCAATAGGGATAACCGCACCCTGGAGAGGATTGTGAAACAAACCCCATTCAAAAATGTGGGGGGGATTCATAAAGAGTGGACTGCAGCTGGAGTCAGTGCTTCAAGAACCACCACGCACAGACGTATGCAAGACATGGGTTTCAGCTGTCACATTCCTTGTGTCAAGCCACTCTTGAACAAGACACAGCGTCAGAAGCGTCTCGCCTGGGCTAAAGACAAAAAGGACTGGACTGCTGCTGAGTGGTCCAAAGTTATGTTCTCTGATGAAAGTAAATTTTGCATTTCCTTTGGAAATCAAGGTCCCAGAGTCTAGAGGAAGAGAGGAGAGGCACAGAATCCATGTTGCTTGAAGTCCAGTGTAAAGTTTCCACAGTCAGTGATGGTTTGGGGTGCCATGTCATCTGCTGGTGTTGGTCCACTGTGTTTTCTGAGGTCCAAGGTCAACACAGCCGTCTACCAGGAAGTTTTAGAGCACTTCATGCTTCCTGCTGCTGACCAACTTTATGGAGATGCAGATTTCATTTTCCAACAGGACTTGGCACCTGCACACAGTGCCAAAGCTACCAGCACCTGGTTTAAGGACCATGGTATCCCTGTTCTTAATTGGCCAGCAAACTCGCCTGACCTTAACCCTATAGAAAATCTATGGGGTATTGTGAAGAGGAAGATGGGATACACCAGACCCAACAATGCAGAAGAGCTGAAGGCCACTATCAGAGCAACCTGGGCTCTCATAACACCTGAGCAGTACCACAGACTGATCGACTCCATGCCACGCCACATTGCTGCAGTAATTCAGGCAAAAGGAGCCCCAACTAAGTATTGAGTGCTGTACATGCTCATACTTTTCATGTTCATACTTTTCAGTTGGCCAACATTTCTAAAAATCCTTTTTTTGTATTGGTCTTAAGTAATATTCTAATTTTCGGAGATACTGAATTTGGGATTTTCATTAGTTGTCAGTTTTAATCATCACAATTAAATGAAATAAACATTTGAAATATATCAGTCTGTGTGGAATGAATGTATACATTATACAAGTTTCACTTTTTGAATGGAATTACTGAAATAAATCAACTTTTTGATGATATTCTAATTATATGACCAGCACCTGTAGAGCCATGCGCGGGACTGTTTTCTTGAGCCCGCTCCCGCCTGCTCACGCTAATTTTGTAACCATTACTGCCCGCTCCTGCAACATGTGTATCCACTCCAACCCGCCAATGCAAACACTGTGACATGCAGAGTGAACGCTAAACGTTCAGAATAACCGACATAAATCATTGCATTCATTTCTTTCAGTTGAGTTTTCTTACTTTGCCTTACTTTGGTATTGCATTGTATAAGCCCACTTTAATCTTGTTTTCAGCTTCGTTTGTTGACTCTGTCTTATTAGAACTAGCTAAATCCCGGGATCCGCGGTATATTTTTTAATTCCCACCCGCAGCAGAGTTAAAACCGCCTGCTCCTGTGCAATTTGGGATGGGTCCTGCAGGTCCCGCAGGATCCAAATCCCAATGGAGCCCTCTTCTCTGCGCCCCTGCAGAAGAGAGTGAAATGCTCTCATAGGACCACCCTGTTATAATAAAGGTTAAATTAATTACATAGTTCCCTCCAGACATGTTTATATATATGTAAATACTCTGTTTTGAAAGTAATTTGTATCTGTTATGGTTTTTCACTAAAAAGTAACTACTGGACACAATATGTCTCCTCGTTCACCGAGAATGGACACTGGAGGCTTCAAGTTTGCAAGTTATTTGTAAGTTGCATATTGAGCCACTACTGGCTTCCAAATCTAATGTCAAATAGCATTTAAAGTGAGCACAAATATTCCCTCTTTAACAGACAGATGTAAAGACAGCCTTCTAGTGTCAAACTGCATCCAATTAAAGTAACAGTAAGCTAAATAGGTTTTTAAGTGGAGGGGATTTACTTACTTACTGATTACTTATGTTACTTACTAACAAAGTTATCAGAATCAGCTTTATTACCTAGTAGGTTTATACATACCAGCAATTTGGTAAATGGTCTGTACTTGCATAGTGCCTTTCTAGTCTTTTCCACCACTCAAAACGCATTTACACTACATCACATTCACCCCATTCACCCACATTCATACACTGATGAGCATAGACTAAGGTGCCAACTGCTCACCAGAAACAGAAATGAACTCATTCTTACACATTCGCTCACAGCGATGGTACAGCACATTGGTCTCTTGGTCCTAAAAATAAACACAGTAGGTAGCAAATATGAAAAAGATAAAGCGAGTATTGCAGGTGAAGAATCATAAATAGAGCTGAAATGATTCATAAATGCAAATTCCTTGCACTGATGCTTCGTTTAATCTACTATACTATATATAGCACACTGTTTCGCACAGACATTTATAACAGTTTTTTAGCTTTAAAGCTGTTGAGTAGCAAAAGTACTTCTTAAACGACACATCGATGAATCGTTGAAATAATCTATAGAAGCTTCGAATACTAAAATCATCGTTAGCTGCAGCCCTAATCATAAATATAAAATTAACAAAATATGAAAAATCTCAAAGAATAGTAATGAATATGTATAATCCATCTGTTATTTTAAATTACAATGTGTGCAATAATTTACAGTATGAGAATACTGTACTGTAAAGGGGTGGGTTAGGTGAGAGTGATAGTGTCAGTTGGGGTCGCAGGCTTTTTTTTGATGAGGCCAGCTGCAAATGGAAAGAAACAGTTCGTATGGTGTGAGGTTTGGGTCCTGATGGACCTCAGCTTCCTGCCAGAGGGGAGTGACTGAAACAGTGTCCGGGATGGGAGGGATCAGCCACAATCTTTCCTTCTCGCTTCAGAGTCCTGGAGGCGTACAGGTCCTGGAGGGATAGTAGGTTGCTGCCAATCACCTTCTCTGTGGAGTGAATGAAATGCTGCAATGTGAGGCAGCAGCGTACCAGATGGTGATGGAGGAGTTGTCTTTGGCAGGTTGAGCTTTCTTAGCCGCCACAGGAAGTACATCCTCGGCCGGGCTTTTTGGGGAGAGAGCTGATGCTCCCACTTGAGGTCCTGGGTGATGACAGTGCCCAGGACGCAGACTTGACAATGTCACACGGGTGATGGGAGTGGGTGGGGCTGGGCTCATTCTGAAATCCACAACCATGTCCACTGTTTTAAAAGCTTTCCAGGTTGTTCTGTTTGCACCACGGCATTATCAGGATCTTGTCTGACTGGTGAAGAGGGAGGGAGAAGAGCATAGGGGAAAGAAAGCAGCCTTGAAGGGAACTGGTGCTGAGGATCCGAGAGTCAAAGACATGTTTTTACCAGGTGGAGTCAGGCATGCTCAGCTGGGAGAGCCTGTCCTGCAGTGTTTAAGGGGGAGCTGAAATCCACATGAAGAGCCATGTTTACTGCAGGGGATCCAGGAGGGGATTGTGATGGATATGAGGTACTAACAGGCCTCTAACACATCCTTTTACTGTAAACACAAATCCAGCCTCTTCAAGATACTCACAGATTAATGCTGTTAAATGATATCTGTTTTTGGAAAAGGTGGGGCAGGTGAAAACACTTTTTTACTCCGTTATTCGTTGCACACAGTGGAGAAATTAAAGACTAACCCTCTATTAGCAGTTAGCATCAGCTTGGACAGCAGAGACAGCGTAACTGCTGCTATTTTCTGTGGTTAACTTCGGGGTTTATCTAAAAAACACAAGGTGAACAATCTATTGCTCCGTGATCCCCTCCTGGCTTCAAACCTTTGAGTATGTTGAATGTTTTGATGAAAATCAGTGACAGTGACATCACTGATTGAGACATGACCAGTCTGAAGCCACAGGGAGCAGCAGCAGTAGTTCAACGCAGACTGAGATGCTGTTCCTAGAAATGTGACTCACCTGCAGGTTTTAGTAGATTTTAAGTGCCCCATGATGGTCTGATGTTCTGATTAATGTTTTCAACACGGAGGATCCTATTCTGTGCATCTGGTATTTCCTCACTTTAGCCTTTTCTGTAGGCTGTTCTTCATTGATGTTATCTGCATCTGTTTGATAAGACATGGTACTTTGATGAAACCAGCGTGAGCATTCTGCACATATGTACAGTAGAGTAATGCCATCTGTAGACATGTTAATATGACACATGAATATTCACACAGACACTTCTGCTCTTTCAGTTTTGACAGAATTCACAGTCATTCATATACTCTGCATTCTGTGATGTTTTCACAATGATAACCACACAATTTTATACTTATACACACATACTAAATATTTTTACATATACACACTGCTTTAGAATTAATTTCATGTTATTTAGCAACAAGATGGAAACATGTACATAACTGGGAGTTTCCCCACATTTCCACAAACATGTTAATGGTTTAAACTGTCATCAGCATATTTACTATGTATTGCCACAAAACTGAGTGTGTTTAGGTATCCTTTTGTGTTTTAGTCATATATTGGTGTGCTTAATTATGATTTTTTTTTTTTTTACTGGTATTCATATAAAATGTTCAAGTGTACACTCCTGGAACAATTTACAACACCTCTCTATGAGGATTATGTCTCCAGGACTTAGACATGTAATGCTGTGTATTGTGTTGTTGTGGAGACACTCACCACTTAAATATAACTTATATTGAATTTAGCTTTATATCAAAAAGTTACTTTTTTAACATCAAACTCTGACTGCTGTGTTTTTGCAGTTGTTTCCTTTGATGCAAAACCTGTCAGCACTTTCATATATGTCTTAATGTCTCAGATGTATGGGTTTTGTTGAACATAGGAGCCACTGTAAACACGATGCTGATATAAGAAACCGTTGGCGGGGAATAACAGCACCATCTGCTGTGGACTGTCGGTCACTCCCACACAAGATCTGGAGGTTGGGCGGAAGAATTCAAATGAACAATCTGCTATTTTGACACACTGCACAACCCCCAGGGTTTCATTTTGTTTTTATATTCTGCCGATATGCATTTTTAGGACATCAAATATGGAGACATTTAGAGCAAAATTAAAAATGTTTTATTGCAATGAGAGAAGGAAAACAATATACTGTACAGTGTTGTGCAAGTCAAAGGTGAAATTAACAGGCATAGGTATGAGGAGCACTTTTTGAGGAGGTATATGTTGCATAGTAAAGGAAAATTTTTTACACAGTAGTTCAGGTGAAATATAAAAATCCATTAGTACTTCAATGATCACTGCAGCCCCTCTGTTATAATAGTGTCATTTTAAAGACAAGACATTTAGAAAGAGATTTTTTCTTAAGAAATGTATCATTTGATAAAAAATGTTTAGCACCTTGCCTTGTCTTTTGGCTAATTTACATGCTAAAGCTTACATGCAAGTATGTAAAAAGGGCATCAAGCAGAAGCTGAAACAACCGCTTTGTCTCACTTCTCCAATCAAAACAGTAGAAGCTGAGGGATGCCACATACAGATTTTGTACACATTGTTTAATATGATTAAAAAGGTGTTACTATAGAATTATGTCAACAATTATGACTTCAAAAGATAAAGCCTTCAGCCCATCAGGCTGTGTCATCTCGTGTTGACTCAGTCAGCCTTCTTCTTGATGCGGAGCAGCTGCGAGAAGCTCTGCAGAGCCCAGAACAGCAGAGAGAGGGAGACAAAGGCCTGGACAACACAGACAGACGGGGTTAGGATCAGAGGCCTTTCGTCACTCCATTTCCTTCATAATGTTGGCCGTGACACCTTAACGAGACTCACCATTTGAAGATATACTGATTTAGTAGAGGTGATGATCTAAAATGTTATTTAAGCTATGAACACCTCCTTTTTCTGAGCGATTTTGTTGTGGGAGTGTTAATGAGCTGACAGCTCGAGTTCGACGGTAGACATGTAATAAATTATATGCCGATATACTGAATAAATTTCTCAGTAAATAGATTCATTATTTGGTAATTAAATGGTAAAAAAATAATAATATTTAACAGGCCAAAACTCAAAGGTTTTCAGTTCATGATCATAGGAGACTATCATAACCAACAAGTGCTACCACTTTATCACCTTATTATAGCTACAGAACAGAAGCCTTTGAAACTCAAACTTGACTTTTTTCCTTGCATATTTTTAACCATTTTGTCATTAATTATAGATATATATGTATTCTGTTTTCTAAAATTATTATTTGATTAAAGGCTTGATTTGTCCCAGAGATTCCCTTCCCTTCCATTCCATAAAGGGGTGGGTTAGAAGGGTTGGTTAACACGCTTAAGTGTTTTCTTCACTTGCATTAGAAATTACAAGATTAGATATGAATATTTCATTTATATCGCTGGGATACCAAGCACTATTGACTGGATAGCCGTCCTTACTATTAGTTGCTTTTAATGTTGGTCGACTGGAGATGTATGCACTCACTCTAATTTCCTTTGTATTACAGCTTCAACTAAATTGTACACTGCAACATGTTACGTTAGGTAAAATTAGACTGGATAACCATGACAAAGAAAAAAAAAAAGAAAAACACAACATAAAAAGTGTGACAGGTATCATTTACGACCAGTGATCACAAAGGCAAACACTGAAAGTGAATTCCTAATTAAAAGAAAACAGTGAGATCCTTCAGATTCAGCCAGTCTCAGGATGTTGTAGAAAGTGGGCTCAGAGGTTAAGAAGCAGGTCTTCTCCCCTGATGCTCTCACGACGGGGTCAAAAGGGTCACCGTCATGGGCGACCTCGCTATTCGGAGAGAAGGGGGCTCTGCCAGAAAGAGCCCTGTCCACCCCCCCCTTGCTGCGTTCTGGCCCATAAACTGCATCCTACATCGCAACTCAAGCCAAACCCAGACCGCTGTCCATCACAGGCATAACAGCCTGATGGGAAAAAAGCAACGTTTCCTTGTGGACCCGGCAGCTGTTTTCCTCTGAGATAGACATGGACTGAGAGAGAGAGAGAGGGGGAGAGAGAGAGAGAGAGAGAGAGAGAGAGAAAGAGAGCTCTGCTTTTCTACCTCTCACTACCTGCTCTGAAAACTGCCTCCCCACTGAGAGAATAAAAGCTTAACAATGGACAAAACAAAAGGAAAAAAAGGGACGTGTCAAGAGATTTAAAGCGTACATAAGACTGTACATAATGAATTATGCATTTATAAAATATGATGCATCTCTACAGATTAAATGACCCAAAAGTATATGAAGTAGGTAAAATAAGTTCCACATCTACAACATTAAAATGCTGCTTACACATTAAAGCATCAGTAATGATAGTCCAATAATATATTATATTATATTACATATAATACAATACTGTAACTGGACCATGTTTACTTTTACTACTTTAAATACACTGTACTAATAGTACATCTGGACTTTTTTCTAATGGCAAATTTGGAATGGAGGACTTTCATAGTGTGGTATTGCTATTTTTACTTAAGGATCTGAATGCTTTGCAAAATAACATCAATGCCCGAGTACATAATACTTTCAAAGAGGTGGCAAACTTCGGATCACACCCAGAAGTAATTATTATGACTAGACTACATTTATTACAGATCTGACTGATTACTGAAAACAACTAAACTGAGTTCATGGAAACAAAAAACATTTTAAAGAAGAAATAATTGCTTATTCCTTAAAGCAAGGAAAATGCTTCAGTGGAGAAACACAAAACTGATAGACACTCGTTGCCAAATATGCATCCATTTGTCTACCAATAACAGGTAACTTTGGAGCTGGTAATGACGGACGTGTTTCAATTTGATTCATGTCTCTATGGTAACAATAACCTTCCCACCAGGTTTACTAGCGGTTGTGTAGTTTCTCACAAGGAAATCTGGAATTAAACCCTGAGTAAAAATCACGTTGACATTTGGCTTCTACCTCAACGTACTGAATAAAGTCATTTCACAACTTGTTTCTCCTGGTAAATCCAATTAGCAGTTTAAATATGACAGCTAAAACTCTAAATTCCTCGAAGGAAAAACAGATGGCAGATTACGCATACATGAAGTTGCATTGTGTCCATCTCAGAGAAGCGTTGGGATCGAGAGCTTTGGCAGAACCTCGCAAATCACATTTCGCTCAAACAGACTGAAACATGACAGAGGTTTCTATCAAAGCCGCATGTTGAGGCAAAGGAAGGGCACCTATTTTTCTCTGTTCCCATCTCTCCTCATTCGCCGCACCATGCTACACTTTAATGGACTCTGTAGGAAACCCATGTGGGACAGATTACATAGTGGAAGGAAGCAGGCTTGATCGTCTACAAATAAGCACTACGGCCAGACAGCAGCGGCTCCCAAAGTAGAGATCTCAGCAAATCGACTCACACTCACTTTGTTTTGGGGAGAAGGTACTTTGTTAGGGGTAGTAATACAAAAAGCCACGAACATGTGGTTTTTGTAGATTTGCTCTGCTTCTTTGTTGAGCTTTATTTACTCAGGAAAGACAGCTCTTTCTCAGTACCTGTTTTGGGTTGTGCTCAGGGCTCCACTGAACACTGTCCAATACTTCTTACTACCTAACTTTGACAAGGTAGCATGTGAAATTAATATTTAGCTCAAACTTCACCAATTCAGATTTATGAAGAGAATAACCAGACATGAACATCAATATTGGACTATTCTGCAAAAGCCCAGATTGTGTTTAATGCCTACTTTTTTTAAACTCTCACTTTCTACCATATCCGTGCAACTACGGGTGATTGTGATTTTGGGAACTGAGAAGGCAAATGTTAATTGCAGGTCTGTGAAGAGACACAAACTTCTTTGAAATGAAAGTCAGAGGTGCTACATACCCATCCACACCCAGACCTCCACTTTCTGCCTCACTCCATAAAGGGCACACAACTATCTGCATTGGCACTGCATGTTGGCTATGGATATAAATCGTGAGGTGCAGCAGGAGCAGATGAATTACTGTGGTGATCCACAGAGTGACCTTTTGCTCTATCTGTGCTGAAACTGATAATTCACATGATCTTCTGTACTTAGTTAAAGCATCTGGTACTGACAGTCTATAGCTGTTTTTTTAAATATGTGTAGTGCAGGTACTGCAGGTCTTTTATTATTCTTAGTCAACTGTCTTGCACAAGAAGACCTAAAATTTGATGTTTCAATCATGATTTAGTCTTCCTGCAATGTGCAGGAAAAACATCCATTAAAATAGTGAATTTTATTATTAAGCCATATCAACAAGATCTTGATCTAAGAACAGAAATGTTTCCACTTTGTGAAATGAACATTCAAATTAGACATTCAATGGCCATTACTAGTTTACACACTTTTAGTAATAATACTGTAATATACAGATGTGCTGAATTCCAAATTAAACATGCTTTATATAAAAAATACTACTTAAAGTGTTCTTCAGTTTTTTAATGCAAGTGTCCCAAGATGGTGTCAACACTGTTGTCAACACTAAAACCTTTGCAGCCTGACGAGACTAAAAGTCTGGCAAACACCCTCAGTACTTAAAACATGGCCAAATATAAAAACACTAAATAACAGCCATATGCAACTCCAACATGAAACTGTATTGTCCTGCAGAACAACAATTGTCAACTCTACATTGAACTGTGTCATTTTGTGTGGTGTTGATAGATATAATACGGCATCAAGCATCAAACACGCCGGGACGCATTCTGGTGTCCCTAGCGACTGTCTTCCAGCCTTCAGTGGGTTAACATGGCAGAGCCTTGCTGTTCTCCAACGCAGCTGCACTCGTGATTGAAATGAAAACAAGGCAGAATGGCTGCTGTCAGATGTGTGATATATGACCTGCAATGGGATGTTTCCAGAGCTCCCTTTCCATATGGCTGCCTAAAGTCCCCCAGACCTGGACTGAAGTGTATCGGAAAATAATTCTGAAGTTTTTGTTTTAACCTGGCTACAGAACCGGAGTGGGAGGAGTTTGCTGCATCAGGAACATGCAGCTACATTGGTAAAAATAAACTCCAGAAAATATTTGTTAGTGAAACTACAGACTGCGTGCTAAAATAGTACTGTTTGTATTTTCTTTCATTTCTGGCTGATTAGCAACTTTTACATCATGGGTGTTTTCTACATATTCTTTTGACTTTGTGTTTGCAGAGCTGGGATTGTTCATGCATTTTTTGTTATTCATATTTTATATACAACAACATGTGCATGTACACACACTCAGCACACACAAAGAGGACTTCCTGTCTGTTCATTATGAGCAGATATACGGTCTCTGTGCTCGGGTTGTTTGAGCAGACTCAGGAAGGATATGCTGAACAGGTTAATGTCCCACCAGAGAGTCAGTGTAGCGGCTGCTCTGTAGCAAAGCCATGAGAAATATTGCACGCACGCACACACGCACACACCACAGTGCAGCCAGACAAACGTGATATGGCAGTTTCTGTATGGTGAAAGTGTAGCAAAACACAAAGTGGTCTGATGATATGCCAATTTAGAATGATTCAGTTGTTTAGAGGTTTTCCTTGTTCTCATTTACTATGTGTCTGCTAGAAGGTCACATGTAAGGTCAACAGCAACTCATCCAGACCATTATGCCTCATTGAAAACACAAGAAAAATCCCTGAAAGTAGCCATTTTCATATTTTTTCAATTCACTTCAGACCCCAGCAGCTTGGCACCACTTCAGACTCAAGAAGAGAATTCTTCACCTCATCATTAACTATAGTTCCCT